CCATTCAGAAAACTAAAAAGAGGAGGTGTCCAAGCAACAGAAACCTTATATATCATGTGCCGGCTGCCCCGTTAGCCATCATCAACTAGTTCAACATAAGAAAGGGGAAACCGAGGTAGGTAAATTAAATACTGAACCCAGAGCACGAAAGACCTTTTATGTGATAGAGATGCAAGCATCTCCAAGCCATCTTTCTAAGAGAAAGTCAAATATGATAGACTAAGCTCCTAGAGGTAGGCCTAATTGGTCACAAGTGGAAAGCCAATTATATCCAACCACTAATTCCAGACAAACAACACAGAGAGGTAGTCGACATCATTCCGCTCATCCACTACTCAAACCTGTTGTCAGCCAGACTCCTTCTAATGTTCTATCAGCTGAAAGATATAGAAAATCCCCCAAACATCGGCTACAGACTACATTTAGTAAGCCCAATAAGCCCATAAAACCCATTCATACATCTTATGTATATATTAGGGAGCATGTGCTGAAGTCTGCACAAAACTTGCTATGGCCTGATAACTATCCCAAACAGATACCAACACTTCCTTCCTATTCTGGCAAAAAATTACCCAATACTCCTATCGATTGTACCTTTCACAATAGAACTACCCATACTAGCCACTTCGAGCGGGATTTTGACTATCGTCAGTCAACGGAAACACCTAGTATCATGCATACAGCACGCATGATATCGGATCATTTCCCTGCTATCATACGGCTATGATACTTTTTCCTTCTGGTATTCAGTTGCTGAGACTACAATTCTATTTACCTCCTGGTCGAGGTCGAACAACCGTAAACTCCTGACCATTTTAGTAAATTCACACTCAAATTCCACGAACGATCCGATGCTACCATTTGAAAACGCTGGCCAACATTCTGTACAAGGAGTATTCTTGATCTGAAATGAAGAAGTAACTGGTTTTCAAACAGTTTTCAATGTATTACTCAACTTACGTGTACAGTCTGCCATACTAACACAAATGGCGCCAATGGATAGTTCTAGAATCGTCCTTGGCCCCATTCCATGCAGTAAAACAATCTGACATGACCTTATCCAGTTTTCGTATCAACGATCAAATTTCTTTCCCATTATAAAACTACGATCAGACTGCTGAAAAATGGAATAAATATACCACTGATCTCAACATAATACATCAATGAACTTTAACTCAAGGATGCTGTTCACAACAAAGTTATGTGGGAGAATTGACTTCAAGCTTTATTTTTCCCAGATATTTGCATTACATTCATCTGATGTCTGGGTTTTTTGTTAATGCGAAGACAATATTTCTAAATCTCCTTATGTTTTACACAGACAGACTATTTAGCAGACTGTCCCGACTGACTCTAATGTCAGAAATCACAACCAAACTGCAAATTCAGCATTGATCGAAATATGTGTAATATATATAATAACGTATCCATGGCTGTACAATTGGTATGTTCCTGCATAAACAGGAATAAATATATATATAAGGTGCTGGCATTGCGAAAATTCTACGGCTAGTGCAAGGCATATTCCCCGGGAGACAGCTGACACAGTGTTGGCACCAACCGCGGTTACCAATATCTCTACAATACTAATATCTGATTATCACACAGATGTCTTTCCCTGCATACCTTATCCAAAAGACAGACCACCCCCGACTACCACCTCACAAACCTGCACAAAGTCTTCCCATGATCCAAAGATAATGGCTAGTGAGTCTAAAAACATGTATTCAGAGGATAGTCAAGGAATATTTTATGAAGATGTTGTCCGCCCACTGAAACCACTCAGCCAGTGTTTATCTGCTATCCTAGTGAATACTAGGTCAGTTCTAAACAAACACTTAACACTAAGTAAATTAGCATCTATATGCAGACCGTCATTGATTATGATCACTGAAGCCTTGTGCACAAGTGAAATCTCTAATGACAGCCCAAGAATTGATGACTACAACATTTTTCAACAGGGCAGACAGACAGGCCATGGAGGGTGGAACTCTTATTTATTGTGAACAATCCATGTGTGCAACCCAGTTCAGTGATCCACTTCTGTCCCAACTCAATGACTCGATGTGGGTAGAATTTGTCAGCAGTAAACCTATACTTATGGGTTATGTATACAGACTCCCTTCATCCAGCAGGGAGTATGGTAATATACTCAGTACCATTTTTAATGTTACAGTGAACCTCCTCTTCAGTTATAAAACTATCGGAGGTGATTTCAACATGCTGGAAGTGTCATTCATTCCCAGGATCCAAAGTGTGTGATAATCTTTTGAATTTCATGGTCACAGGAGGGTGGACACAACGCATAACTTCACCCACTAGATCCGCAAACATCCTAGACTTTATTTTCACGAACAACATAACACCATCTTCAGTACATGTGGGACATGAATCTCCAGGTTTTGACCATAAAATAGTGGTGTGATCCTATATAATCTTTCCTGAAACAATGTGCAGAGATGATCTGGTTAGACATTTACAAGATTATATACACATGCTGACTGGAACTTGTGTCACCATCTAGTTAGATGCTCTAATTGGGACTCGCACTTTTCGAACGAGTCCTAAAAGGCCATTCTTAACAAGTTTCATCACAATATGAAGTCAATTCATGATTTCATTGCACCTGAGAATATTCCTAGCTTCAAATTCTCCCAAAGCGATTGTATTTTGACATCGTTAAGGAGAAATCTACGAAAGTACTCAATAAAATACAACAGATATCATGACTCATCATGAGAATATATAATTATTATTATCATTAATTGCCACTGTGTCCCTTCTCAGGAGAGTTCAAGACTTGAAAAATATAAGCCTCAGCCACCGCATAACCCAGGAGAAACAGCGAAACTTTTCAAAAGTAGGTTAACAAACTTCAAAACAGCATGTCTAAAAATAATATATTTGGACGACATTGCTTACGAGAATGCCGAGGTGATATGTGAACTGTTTAGGAAGTACTGTGACACACTATGCACTTTGGAGAACGATCAGGTCGTGTATTTCCCACGTAAAACAGATGAATGTCCAATTGACACACTTTCCGCCACACAAGAGATCGATAAAGCTATCGAAAATCTTAAGCTTAGTAACAGTCCTGTTCCAGACGGTATACCTTTCATTCTGCTGAAGAACGGTGGTAGTGACATAAATTTACTTATACTCAAGTTACACTCAATTTCACTACACGATGAGACATACCCTACTAGCTGGAAGAAGTCCTGTGTTATACTCACTCATAAATACGCTCCTGTAGCTGATATCAACAACTACTGCCCTATCACCATCGCGTCTGTAGTTACATCGGTAATAGAAAAGATAATAAAGACACAGATCGTTCAGCGCTTGCTCTTAAATGACCTTCTATTCCCATCCCAATACGGTTTCTTGAGCAGAAGGTCGTGAATTAATTACCGCTTAGATTATTTTGACTACACTACACGCTGCATAGATAACGAGCATCCAGTAACAAAATTATTCCTCGGTGTTAGCAAGGCCTTTGATAGAGTCCCACATATCGGACTCCTTATAGGACTCCAATTGTACGGAATAAATGGAAAGCTTCTCAAATGGAATCTGCAGCCATCAAATATAAGCTGAACATGCTTCAACTCTAAACAGCTATGCACAGTGTTAGCAGCATGGAGAAACACTTGAAATATTGTAAGATACGCAGACCTGTTGTGTTGATGAGGGTAACAATGACATATAATGCAACCTAGACATTCGGTGGTGACACTGCATCTGTACTGCTTCGTGTTAATGGAAAATTCAGGAAAAACTCATCACCACCATTGGTGATCAAAAACATTGCGGCATTAAGTTTAAGTGCCAGTGAGAATGGCATAACAGACAGTAGATTGATAGCAATAGAACTGACTAGATTCAGTTCTTATAATCGACACAATCCATGTGTATAGTAATACTATACACTGAATTAATGCACTAAGTGACACAGTAAGGAAATTTAAACGAATGATTGCCTTGTCCACTGCACTGCACTTGCAATAATCATGACAACCACCTACATTTGCTACCCAAGCAGACAATGGCACAATATTAATAAAGTTCAGATATTTTTTATACATTGAGTCCACATAACTCATATTACGCCACCAAACAGTCCAAATATACATGAAATACGCTTAGAAATAACCTCTCAACTTACGATAATTCCTGTCCAAACACACATACGGTGAGACACATCTACATGATTACTTCTATTCCCACAGAAGGTTCTGTTAGCGTTTACAGGTGATTTCCAAGTACTGACAGGATTATTATGTCAAAAAGGACTGTTCTTCACACGAAAATAGGCTGAATTAATATCCTGAGACATGAAGTCTCCATTGAATGATACTGTAGTGACCCGTTTTACTACTCATCATCGCAGTATACTTTCATTGTGTAATTGTACTTTGATTTGTTTATTACTCTAAATCTTTCATGTTAACAATTGATACCTTTTGTACTCGCTCGATTTTTGAATTGTTGATTGCTGCAGTAATACACTATCGTATTCCTTCGCAAGTGCCTTTTGAATTGCGTTGAGGATGTCGAGTAATCGCAACGTTAGGGCACAATTATAAACGCGAAGAAATACTAGAAGATACGGGTACGCCAGTTTAATCAAAATTCAGCAGCACAACAATACCATGCCGAAAGGTGCAGAATCTAAATAAAATAGACTATTTGTGTAGATGAAATTACCCTTCAACTATCCTATCTTTCTCATTATAGCGATATTTTGCTACAGTTCGCCTGAAACACTGATCGTTGCAACCAATATGCTAGGGGGTGTCGCAGTCGGATTACATGACGCGGACACCAAAATAACTGGCCAGAAAATGGGAATTCCCATCAATCCAGATAACATATAACACAATTTTATTAAAAATTATTGACAAAAAAATTTCCAAGTGAAATTGTAACAGCTGTACTAGAACGTGATATTTAAGGTCAGCCTAATAAAATGGGTCACTACAGTTGGACCTAAATAGTGGTGTCTAATTCAAAAGTGGCGGTACCAGGTGGGTTAAGGACACAATAATGTCGGTTAGATTAAGTTTATTTGATTGTTTTAGACCCAGTATAGTGTGATTTACTTCGATGACTTCTTTTCTTTAGCTTAATTTGTTTAACAGTGCAAATGTATCTTTTTGAGATGACATGTATGCTTTAACTGGCCGAGTACACTCTAGGATGATGGATGGAAAAGTTCAACAATAGCATTTGCACTCCTGGGATGCTATTGTTGAACTTAGCCTGGTACATATTTCTCTTACAAGCAATAGTCACATTATTATGTTTCTTCAGTCTTCTCGGAGTTCTTTTCAAACAGTTGCAACTGCTGAACAGCACTCACTTTCTTCGGTTGACAGCCGGATATCACATCTACGCCAGAGACGGCGTAAGTTGGTAAATGCCAAACGAGCTTTTTGTATCCATGCTGAGATTTCGTCAGCGATCAACCCGTTGTGGTTGGTGCAACTCCCTGAATAAGTGAAGTGGTCAACACGCTCACTAACTTCACTCCCTGCCTTCAAGCTAAGATTCAATGTAGTGCAGTCCTGTAGCATCATCTTACATTTGACGGTGGGAGCGAATCGCATGGCGAACATTCGAAGATTACTCACTGCTCAAGGTGTTCAGAAGACTGCTGTATTTTGTCAGCATCTTCACCTAGGAGTAGGATTATATCGTCCTCATATTCTGAGTCCACGGGATTATTCCCTGGTAACAAGTCAATTCCTGAGTTGCTGAAGTTACTTAGGATTAAGTCCATTAGTACATCTATAATGAAATTGAATAGAAACGGGATTAGTGGGCATCCCTGTCGGTTACCACTAGTTGTCAGCAGTTCAGATGACAACTCGCTGTAAGCTCTCATCTGGCTGCATGATTTCCAGTAGAGTGCCTTGATCAGTGCAATGTATTCTCTCGGCATTCCTTTCACACCCAAACATCGCCAGGGTACCTCTCGGTCGACAGAATCGAATGCCGCCTGAAGTTCAAGAAATATAATGATTGTTGCCTGTAAGATGTGGCCATTGAAAGCGGGAGGCATGAAAAGACCGGCTACCTGTCTTTGATCATAGGTGCCTGCATTCTATCTCTCGTGTTAATTGGTATAATAAAGTAAGCAATATTGAGGTTAGGCATCGTTTGAGTGCTAGTTAAGGGGTTTAAACTAATCGACGAGGTTGTGAAGCCACGTCGACTGAGATGGCTGGGACACGTGTAACTTATGCCCAGCTGTCGTCCTTCTCGATGGGCTACGTTAGCCGACATAGGATCAGGTTGTATAAGAGCTAATTGTTTTGAAGCGAAAAGTTGGCATCGATTCACGAAACCATTTACATTTATTTTAAGCTGCCTGGTTGGCGTATTGAGGATGGTATGACCCAATGGCTGGAGACAGTTGTTGCTATGGCTCAAAGTCATCCTCAGTGGCTGGCGCAGGTGCATCCCCTCTTTGTAATCCCCCACATCCATCAGATCCTCGAGTTTTTCTGTTACTTTTTTGGACATTTCTGCGTATTATAGTTCTTTTGAACCTCCTTTTTTCTTTGTGTGTTACGTAGAGTCTGGCAACTTTAACTGCTGCAATTCTGTGCAAAGTACTATGTAGAAACTTAGTCACTCAGATATGGCGGAAAGAATATGAGATTAAAATTAAGATTATAATGTACATGCAAGCGAAAAGCAACAAGTTAGCAGAAGAAGCATCAAAGATAGGACTTCAGGTAAACATAGATAAAACAGAGGTGATGAAAATTCCTGGGCAACACCACCAACAGCAACAACAACAATTGACAACAATCAGCATGAATGGTAGGAACCTGAAAGAAACGACCTCTTTTACCTACCTGGGAAGCATCGTTTCAACTACAGGCCGGCGGAACTGACGAGGATATCAAAGCAAGAATCGGAAAAGCAAGACAAGCTTTCACTACTCTCAAGTCTGTGTGGAGGTCAACAGCACTCAGCATCAAAAATAAGATCCGGATTTTCAACTCCAATGTGAAGTCAGTGCTACTATACGGATCAGAAACTTGCACTGCGCGTCATAAAGAGCATCTCAAACAAACTACAGCCCTTCATTAACAGTTGTCTTCGCTCAATACTCAAGATCAGATGGCTGGTCAGAAAAGATCAGCAATAGTGAGATTTGGGAGCGAACCAACCAGGAACCGATTGTGAAACAAATATGCAGGAAGAAATGGAGATGGATTGGCTGGCCATACTCTGAGGAAACAAGCCATCAAGTGACATCACTAGACAAGCCATTGCTCGAGTGGAACCCGAAAGGGAAGCGGCGAGTTGGTCGTCCAAGGGTGACTTGGAGGAGGTCATGTGAAGAGGAGATGAAAACGTGTGGGCAGACATGGAGTCAGGTGAAGACTCTAGCAGAGAACAGAACGCAATGGAGACGCACGGCTAAAGCCCTATGTTCCTGTAGGAATTAAAGGATACAATAATAATATATAATAATAATGTACTATAGTTCAGTTGCAATACTCAGATAAGCAATGAGTTATCGGAAAGGACATCGAAATATCAGGAGTTGCAAAATGAATGATAATAATAGCAGTAGTAATAAAACGAGTTAAGCTAATGGTACTATCAAAATATAGTTTTATTGAGTCAAGAATAACAATAATAATACACTGAATAAAGTGGTAACAGTTAATAAGTAAAAACTATTACCATGGTAGATTCAATGTGATCCTCATTTCCCTCTGTAGGGTTGCTTTTCATTTTCATGCGCTTACCTGATCTGAATCTGATATTCCGTTTAGCATCAAATACCACTTCCTCCATGGCTTTATTTAATATGTGGTAATTCGACAAGTAACGGAAATTAGTATGCTTTAATCTTCATATTCTCCCCGGTTTCCATTTTGTGATTTTTCTAGTGCTGCAACCTCTAACATATTTGGTTAGCCTCAGGTGATGGAAGTCTAAACAGGTCACATGACAGCCGAATTGTTATCTTCGTACACAGGATAGATAATGACGTTCGATTGTCAGGCTAGTTAACATCTATTGAAATTTACAGCAGCTTCTGATCCAAATTTACTAATCTTAGTGAATTAGTTGCCTCTATTACTGCGTCCCTTTCGCACTTATTCACAATGTTCTACGAACGCCAACTGATGAATCGTTCACATTTCTTTATCACACTCTGTATTTTATATGAAGATAAAATTGCGAAAATGCAGTAGTGTTAAGGTCTTATTAATTAATGAAGTCTACATGGTGACAGAAATTAACTACCACATATCTGTGTGCTCAACGAGGTATTTTCCACTATGATGGAGCATTTGTAATCAACGTATTCTTTGATAAAATTGGATTTTGTGATATAAGATTCAGCAGTTTATTCGATGTCTGGTTCCGCTTTCACATTTTCATACTAAGGTTAAACTGTGAATGGGAATGAAACATTGATTAGCTCTGTTTGAGAACTCATTTAAACGGATGTATGTATTTTGAGGATCTTATCGTCAAATGGTCTTCAGTGGTTTTCCAAAAGAAATAGTGACTTTATATGTAAGGTGTGTACTCGCTTCGGCTGTACATATACTCAATTCGGAACGATACAGATAAGATTAGCACGGCCTCTGCACAAGGGTGACACGCATAATCGTGAAGCATTCCATATTTTTTGTGCATCTGTGGCACAGCGGAAGAATGCTCGCCAAACATACAAGTGGTTCGGGGGTCGGTACCTGACCGACGCACTCCTTTACCTCGCTAAGCCAGTAAAGATGAAAGGTTGGGTATTAGGCTAGCAACTCCATCCCGTAAAATTAAATAACACTGCTATCGAAACTTCAAGCCTGTAGCTTAAAGCCCTATGTTCCACTGGGAACGTAAAGGAATAAAAAAATACATAAGTTAATGAATATCACTTCTGTCACCTGGAAGTTGGTGAGAAATGTTTTGTTTATTATATTGCTGTAGTGCAAATAAGTTTAGAGCAGTCACTTATTGTATACTTTTTCGCCAATTTTTTTGAAATTCCTCATAAGTTTCGTTATTTTTGTATAAAACGTTGGTTTTTATATTGTAGGCTTTGGTAAATTACATTATTAAATTACGTGTGTCCGTGAACTTCACTACATAGCTACCAGTTTCTTATTTAGTGATGCTAGAGGTTAGTCACATGCATTTTTAAATTAAAATATAAAGTGTGCAGCACCAGGTGTTGAAGATGCTAACGTATGGGGTCTCGTTAGTCTAAAGAAAGGTGATAAAAAAGCACCGAGAAAAATCCTAAATGATTTTCATAAAAATAATGACGTACTGGATGAGTCTAATGAGGTTCAGGATGCTATGCAAACTAGAAGGTTAGCCTTCCGAGGAGTCAAACGACAGTTAAATCTCTGGAAAGGTCCAGTGCACAAAAATCGCCTAGCAGAACAAATAATTTTTCCAATAAATGACAAGGAAATTACGTTATCAGGATCTCAGGAGGCTGCAAAAATGAAAGAGCAGCTTCTAATTAAAGACCTTAAGAAAAATTCAACAAACTTGCAGGGAAAGTTATACAGTGCTTTGTACAAGAATGAAGACACAAGGTAATTATCTTTTTCCCTCGTTACTGTTTAGTATTTCTAAGGATAAACCTGATAAAGCGTCGAAAATGGTATCCAAGATGCTACTTGAAAAAATCGCTATGCGTGAAAGAGAACGTTTCTTGCTCGCTCGAGTAGCCGCTCGTAATAAACGTCAAAATAAAATCAAAAGCAAACGATTTCACCGTCATTTAAAAGGTCGTACAATGAAGGAGTACGAGAATGAGACTGAGTCCCTGCGGCTTATGAATCCGAAAGAATTTGCCAAGCGTCTCGTCAGTGCAGAACTTAATAGAGTTAAGGAAAGAGCTAGTCTTAAACACAGGGGTGGTAGTAAGTTTGCAAAGTTGCAGAAGTTGAGAGCTAAGTACGACTCTGAGGTAAGCGAATGTCAGTGCTTTCTATCAATTTTCAGGCTAGGGCAGCTGTAGCAGATATGCATGAGCTATCCCGAGAGGTTACACGAAGACCTGATCCACACATGCTGTCAGATACTGATGAATCCGATGTGTCAATCTCTTCAGAATCTGAAGGCGAGTCAGAAGAGTCTGATTTCAATTTAGACGACGATAATGAGGATGACAGTGGTGTTAATGGTAATGTAAATGGAGTAATTCAGACTTTTGGGTGGTGGAAAAAGGTATAGTTTTACAGTTTACTTCACTTAAACTAATTTTGTATATAAAATTATTCTTTAATAGTTATCTTTAGGTGTAGACAATCTTTTGACTTCACGTAATTTCTGGCGGTCGCAAGTGAATAAATCTGAATCCTTATAAACAGTCAGGTGTCGAAAGTATCTGTATATTTTAGAAGAATGCAATTTATTGCTGTCTTATGATTTTCATTCCAACACTTAAGGTGTTAGTTAATTACCAGTAAAAAATAAAATAAGTGGGCCACAACACCAGGTAGTCTGTTTTATATGGTATGCTCTGAGTTCCTTTTATTAAAGGTTATGAAAATAAGTGTAATCAAAAGAAAACCTGAGCGTCGTTTGAACGGCTCTTTGCTTTTACTGTACGTGCTATCATTTTAAGATGTCACTAACTTTTAAACCTAGTTGTATTCGGCAATTCACTCACTAATATTCGTCTGATAGAAGTAGTTGTGTGGTGTATATACCAGCTGACTTTCAACTCGAATATGAAGTATAAATTTGTCAGGAAAAGTCCAAGGGTAACTAGACGATGACATTATTTCAGTAAGAACTATTTTTCGCATAAGTAGTGATATATCTATGTACTTCAACAAGTAAATAACAGGGACTGAACTGAAAACAGTGTTATACCATATTTTGTATAGTGGTCAGAATACTACCAAGGGTGCAGGCACCCTGATAAATGACTTTTCTAAACATCGAATCTCAAGTTTATTTAAAAAGGTAGTTGATAAACAACAGCAACGGTCAAAGTGGGCTTATACATCGGTCGTACAATTAGGCGTGTTTATCATTGAATTTCCGGACAGCATCCTGCATGGCGGTTAAGTAAGGTGTATCGACAAAAGACAAGGGCCAGATAACAGATCATTTATTGAGAAAATCAACAGATATTTATAGATTTTTATGTACATTATTATTCGTTGTTACTAGCAGAGAAACGCCGTCTTCTAATTGGTCGTTTTCTTATTGGAAGTCATTCTATTATCACTCTGTGGCCGTTTCTTTGAAGGTCAGACCAAACATCTGCTAATCGTATCCGCCCACTCTAAGTCTTTGTTCTTGTTGTTCTCATGACCAAGATTTGGGACGTAAACATTGACGTAAATTGCTGTCTACCAATTTCGGCTAGCAGACAGCTCTCACCACAAAGGTAAAAACAAATTCCATTGATAGCTCTCTATTCTATCTCATCTCGTGGATACAGAACTCAAGACTAGTGTTAACGAGACGGCTTTCAAAGTCATCTACCGTATACCAACTAATCTTAACTTTACCTTCTTAAGAGTTCGTCCATTACATATTGCTGACGCTGGCTGTTAGGATCTACATTAAGAAACCTAAGTTATGATGCATCCAAAAGAAGTTGGTTCAGACATTGTCCTTACCCCTCCGACCATCAAGGTTTTAATGATCCTTAATTTGTTGTGGAAATTGCCTTACTTTAACTTGATATTCTGCTTACTATTCCATTTTTATGCTTGTTATTATTATAACTTATGCATCTTTCATACATTTATTCCCCTCAATGAATTTGAATAAGGTAAGAACAACAGTTTTTGCAGAATAAAGTGGTACCGTCATTGCTTATTTCGTTGGCTTCTCGTCATTTGCTTGCAGCCCATTGACATTATTAAGTATATATATTGAAACAATTGCAACATACTTGCACAGAGTTAAATTTTAAACAAGAATCAATCAATTAATATATGCATACAATTATATATATATATATCTCGAACAATAATAATCATACACAATGAAAACTTTCGACATTACATAATTAGATGAAAGAGAGGGTAGAGATATCCAGTTACCAAGGCGAGGGAAGACTGATAACTGCTCCTTTCTGAATGCATAAATCGGGTTTTATGCGCTTGATGGAGATTACTTCATTAAACTTAAGGAGAATTGAGCTTGTTTATAATTTTAAACGATCTTGCGACGCCCACCTCATGACCCGTGTCAGGGAGATGCCTGGCGATGACACTGTTTAAAGCATTTGTTCATTTCAGGCATAGGCTTTGTGGTACATGTTCAGAAAATCGTAAGTATGCCCTTCTTTGTGTTCTTCCAATCTAACTGCTCCTGCAGATACATGTAAATTTGTATATACAGTTGGAGTTGACATGAGAAAGATATCTGTCGATTTTTGATTGCACCCTACAGCAAGTTATTTGATAGACGGGAACCAGCTTAGCTGCAGGATAGGCTCTGCCTAATGACGTACTCAATCTTTGATTGAATATTGCTGCAATATTTTCACCTTTAAAATCGAGTTGAATGAAGATGGGCTTTTACCGCACTGTAATTTGTCTGATGTTTGAGCCTTCATATCTTCAATATTTGTTGACGAATCTCTGAGGTTAACCGTTGTTTTCCAACATCTTTTCGAGAATCGTAAGTTCTTCCTCTGATTTCTCTACAGAGCATACTCTCCTTGCTCTACAGTATCGAGTCTTCACTGGTGCTCCTTTATAGTTAACCATTTAGACAAAAACTATTGACATGTAGGTATGATCCATTCCATGTAGCCTTTCGGTTAATTGACCTCTGGAGACTACCATCTTCTAGGCGTTACATGGCAATGTCGAGGAAATGGAACTTCTCATTTTCTTGTTCCATAGTAAATTCAGTATTTGTATGTGCGTCGTTGAATAATCTGAGTAGGTAGGAAGCATGAATTTCATTGTTGCATACTACAAATGTGTTATCGACATATCGTTGTTTCATTGGTTGCATACTTCAACTTTGTTTTCTCAAGGTTGGATATGACCACCAGTGACTATAATTTACATTATTTCAGGTATCTTTTTAATTTTCTTCATATATTGATATAGTATTAGAGAATGATGGAAAACCACACACACATAATAAGACACAATAATTGCGTGTCAGAGCTTAGTGCATATTCCCGCCTATGTTTTCTAACTTACAGTATTTATTAAAAAAAGTATCGTCGTAGTATGATATAAGTCGAATTATGTTTATTTTATGCTACCAGAATCGAATAGTAATTAGCCTCTATTTATTTCCAAACTATAGGGATCAGCTAAAAATAAACCAAATGATACATTTCGTCCAACTGTTGGAGGAGCATTACTTTCTACTGAAGCAGCTGAAAAAGTGTTGGAAAAATCTGAGGTCAACAAAATAGTTTTAACTGAACCTTCAGTATGTAATACTGATACTGTGGTTGAAGAATCAGATGTAGTGGATCCTAATTCAGAAGGGTTTTTCCATGCACTCCAAGAAAGTTTTGCAAATGATCCAGCTTTACAACAGAAATTTTTAGCAGAAAAAACTGAAACGGCTAAAAGTGAAGCACCTCAAGATATCGATACGTATTTGCCTGGATGGAATTCTTGGACTGGTCCAGGAACTGAAGCGGCTGATGAAAGGAGACGGAAAGCTAGAATTATACCTGCTCCTAAGGTAAAACGTGAAGATGACAAGAAATCACATGTGATCATCAAACGGCGTTTGAATCAAGATTTCAAGCAACATTTGGTACGTTGCTTAAAATATTTTAGTTTGTGCATACTATATTTGCAACATCATCACCTTCACAATTTAAGTTTTTCTTTTGTTTTTACCTTTTTCGTCAGGTGAAATCAATTCCGTTTCCATACAGTACACCAGAGCAATTTGAAGCATTCGTATCCCAACCGATTTGTAGAGAGTGGATTACAGAATCTTCACATCGTGAATTAACACGTCCTAAAGTAACAGTCCAATCTGGTCGTATTATTAGACCAATATCAAAGTCTGCGGCTTTGTTGCGTGACAGGGATATTGAACGTTTCAATAAACAAAAGCCGATTGTGTGATTCACTTCGTATCGTGTATTTGAATTATTATGTATCTTTCTAGCAGTCAGTCATAAAAATTGATTCTGTGATTAATACACTATTTTGAAATGTAGGCATTCCTTTTCTACAAAGATACTGCTGATTGATGTGAGTAATTAGAGACAATTTGTATCATCCACTGAAGTCATCTTAACACCTGGTGACCATTACACTTGTTCAGCACCAAGTTCACCAAAATTTATTCAGTTGACCTCAACTAGATTGGGGGTATGTCACTTCAAAGCATCCGAATTTTGCCTAGCCACTAAGGTGGACTGGTGATTACTATTATTATTCCTTTGGATTCCAAGTGGAACATAGGACTTCAACAACTCATCTCCACTTTGTTCTATTTGGTGCTGTCTTCTTCAACGGGGTCCACGTATGACCATAATCTTTCATCTCCCCCTCTTCCTGCCCAACACACGGTCTCCTCCATGTCGCCCTCGTACCGACAACCCACTCGTCGTTTCCCATTCCATTATTGGGATTCAACTACAGCGATGGCCTGCAATGCACGCGATGTCATTCGACGATTTCCTCATCGTATGTCTGATCAATCCATCTCCATTTTCTCCTACATACTTGTTGAGCAATCGGCTCTCACCTGTTGGTTCGTTCCCAGCCAGAGTTTCTTGTTGCTAGTTGTTTCTGCACCGGCCGGGCGATTCGGTCTTCAGTATGGAACCAGCCAGCCAGCCAGCGAAGTGAGCAGCTGTTGATAAAAGTCTTCAGTGGCTTCTTGGAAATCGTTTTCGTGACACGCAGTGCAAGTTTTTGACCTGTATAGAAGAGCTGACTGACTGACTTGACATTTGTGCTGAACAGAATCCGAATTTTGTTGTTTATGCTGTCTGAGTGAGTGCAGAAGATTTCCAAACTGGTTTCAGGTTGATGAATGTGTATCTTGCCTTTCTGATTCTGGCTATCTGACTTTGACATCTTCATCCGATCTGCTGGCCTGTGGTTGGAACCGTGCTTCCTAGCCAGACAAGTGACGGCAGGAAGCAACCTCTGACAAATCCCTCGCGTTGATGGTGATTAGTGCTGGTTGTTGTTGCTGTTGGTCGGTTATCTTCATCGCCTGCGTCTTCTACATGCTGAGAAAGGCAATGGCTAAGGATGCATGCATAACACGTAGCTTCACAACCTCATCGATTGATTTGACCTCATTACCTAGCACTCGATCGATGCCTAACCTCAATATTACTCATTCTATTACATCACCTAACACGGGAGGTTCAACGCAGATAGCTGTAATCACACACACACAGCTAACCAGGCTTTTCATGTTTTCCGATGTCAGTGGCCTTGTCTTACTCACAGCCATAAAGGAGGACCGATTGAACTGCTGAACAGTACTAACTTTCTTCGGTTGACAGCCGGATATCACATCTACGCCAGAGACGGCGTAAGTTGGTAAATGCCAAACGAGCTTTTTGTATCCATGCTGAGATTTCGTCAGCGATCAACCCGTTGTGGTTGGTGCAACTCCCTGAATAAGTGAAGTGGTCAACACGCTCACTAACTTCACTCCCTGCCTTCAAGCTAAGATTCAATGTAGTGCAGTCCTGTAGCATCATCTTACATTTGACGGTGGGAGCGAATCGCATGGCGAACATTCGAAGATTACTCACTGCTCAAGGTGTTCAGAAGACTGCTGTATTTTGTCAGCATCTTCACCTAGGAGTAGGATTATATCGTCCTCATATTCTGAGTCCACGGGATTATTCCCTGGTAACAAGTCAATTCCTGAGTTGCTGAAGTCACTTAGGATTAAGTCCATTAGTACATCTATGATGAAATTAAATAGACATAGGGACATTGGTGGGCAGAACAACAAACAGTTTATATTCAATGAATGTACTAATTTATTTCATTGAAAGCTGCAAAATAATCATAATTACTTTTACCGCTTATAATGGAGAGTAATCTGAGCAGTAAAGCAAGACAATATGCATACTAGGAAAGAAATTGTAGAAATATGGAAATCCAAAGGAGAAATCAGTATTAATAATATTATGAAATCAGTATAATTTATGCACGTAATTCCAAGGATAAATAATAATTGTCTGCTTTTTTTTGCTTCTGAAAATTCGTTAAATATCAAATCCAATATTCAAAAACTAAGCACCAGTATTTAATTGAATACCCTTTTTAACATTCTTTTTAAACTGGCCAATCACATTTCCCGGAGGATAATACAAACAAACAATAATTAGTTTTGAATCTCTATTCATTGAGTCTTCTGATTCATACGACGATTTACTTGCGATACCAACTCCAATACTCTGTGAACCTGACCATACTATCTGAGTGAAATTGCCTGAAAAGTAAAATGATTTTATCCTAGTGTATTAAACATATCAATCGAGTTAGTAAAAAGCAAAGATAAATTTCAATGATGATTGAATGAACATACTAAGATGCCGTGTTTTCTTTTTTACCTCGGTCATCCAATAGTCCATATAGCAATAATCATAATAATCATGAAACTACAACTCCTATATGTTTTCTCCGTAGAACAATCAAGATGATAAAGCTCTACTAAATAAAAAAAATTTGAGCAAAGAATATCCTTTTCGATAATTTCTTCTTCTGGCACTATATATATGTATATAATATTCTAGAATAATCGTCATCAACAATATTGGCGATTTTAAATATTATCGATTTCTTAAGTAAGATCTCAATGGAATTTCCACAGTTCAAGAAAGACGCTTAAGTTATAATAATAATAAGCATAAAAATGGAATAGTAAGCAGAATATCAAGTTAAAGTAAGGCAATTTCCACAACAAATTAAGGATCATTAAAACCTTGATGGTCGGAGGGGTAAGGACAATGTCTGAACCAACTTCTTTTGGATGCATCATAACTTAGGTTTCTTAATGTAGATCCTAACAGCCAGCGTCAGCAATATGTAATGGACGAACTCTTAAGAAGGTAAAGTTAAGATTAGTTGGTATACGGTAGATGACTTTGAAAGCCGTCTCGTTAACACTAGTCTTGAGTTCTGTATCCACGAGATGAGATAGAATAGAGAGCTATCAATGGATTTCGTTTGTCCCTTACTTAACCACCATGCAGGATGTTGTTCGGAAATCCGACGACAAACACGCCTAATTGTACGGCCTGTGCCATTAACTGGCTCCATAGGAGCAGTCAAATTGGTAGATACACATGTAAGAGGCAAAATTAGGTAGTTTATCTTTAATTCCCGAAAGTGAAGTAGTAGTGGTTTTGAAGACACAGCTTATTTCAGCATCACTGAATGCTCATTTTTCCACATTCCTTAGGCATTGTGTTAATATCTCACTGAGGAACTGAAGTTGTAAAAATAAGGCCTTTTTCAGAATTGTTGGTACTTCAGCCTGCCTTGACTTTTGTTTAATATTCTTATGGAAGTTTTTCTTGGTAACCATTCTTCTTCAACAACTCTTTAATAAAAGTAAGCTCTTTATTAAGGTATTTATCAAAGCAAATTCCTCTTCCTCTACTAAATATTTGATACGTAAATGGCTTTTCATCTGTTTATTTATATAAATGCCATTCGACTACTACGTCAGCAGAAAATGAATTGACATCATGTCAACTCTTTATCATAAAACCGAAAAGTACTGGACAATTAGTTGGTAAGAGGCTGAAATTTTCTGTTAGTAGACATTCATAATAGTGATAAATGGTTTTTATAGAAAATCAAAACAAGTGATTGATTCAGCGAAGAGACTTTTTAACGAATTTATTATCAAGCTGTACAATCGTATATTTATGGGTGTTTTTAAGAAATTATATCCGGTGAGGGAATTGAGTCATAGGTGTGAATGCACAAAATAATAATAGTAGTAGTATGAAATGTAATTAAAATTAAAATGTTTGTGTTTATAGTCGTAGTTAAATGTCAGGTGGCTAAACAATTAATGTCATGTATGTAGAACAATTCTTAGGACATATATAACTCGGAAGGGGTGTCAAATTATAAGATAAGTAGGTAAATCAAATCAAATAAAAACGTCACGTAATTTTATTTGAAATTTGAAAACACAGAACTTAACATTGCAAGAAAAGATTGATTCAGGATGACAAGTGGTGTGAGTGAAATAATACCGGGGACAATTCAAAGTGAGAATAGTAATAGTAACAACTGATGTAATAAAAGAAGAGTATACAAATATATATGACATTAATTATTTTGCCACTTAATTGCATTCCATACTACTATTATTATTATTTCATGTATTCACACGTTTGATTCAATTCCTATACCGGATATAATTTCTTAAAAACACCCATAAATATACGATTGTACAGCTTGATAATAAATTCGTTGAAAAGAGTCTCTTCGCTAAATCAATCACTTGTTTTGATTTTCTATATGTCCCGGTGAGAATTCTGCCACCAAGTATGTTGACCTTCTACTTCTGAGTTTGAACAAACTGAAGAGTCCTAAACTAGAACGAAATAGTTGTCTGTACATCACACCGTCTTCACTATCAAGAGAATTATACAATAAATGGACAAAGATCGAGAGCTAATCATTGACAGAGTAAACTGAGTTCTCCGATTCGAATGTGAATATGGAAGCAAAAAAACCCACTCGTTTAGAAAACGTGTCTGTCTACCCAAAAGGTTGGACGTTTAACCAAATGGTTTAGCAATGCAGAAAATGAGCTAGCCAAGAGTGTCATAAATAAGTATCTAACGAACACGTTATTGATAACACTAAATTCTACAGTCGGCGGTATATAAACAAACATATGTAGCTCTAATCCTGAGATCAAGTCTCTGGATATACAAAATGATAGACCCACTGAATATGTCATTACAGGGATCACTTTGTGGTGTAACTGCTTTACCTTTTCTAACCCTTATACTTCTTATTTTTCTGTACAATCCCATATTGTTTCCTTTCTCCTGTATCATTTATCTTGTTTGGTATGTTCTTTACTTTGTTCGACTTTAATCAGCTCATTTTATCAGTATGGTTTCTTCGTACTTGCTTTACCCTACCAGAGTTCCTTAGCATTAAAATGCTATCAAGCCTTTTGTCCAAATCATAAGACTAATTATATAGCGACGGGATGCAGATTAATGTCTAACTTTAAATAAATGTAGATTTTATTACAAACAGACCTCAGGAAAAAAGCTGTCGACAACCAAGTGGCATTACACAACTATTTCATCCGCGTGTGGGACTCTTCAATAGTATTATTATTATTATTCTTTCTTTGGGTCCTGGCGGAAACATGGGGTTTCAGCGGCACATCTTCAACGGACTCTGTTCATTACAGTCACTTGCAGCTGATTCCATGACTGTCGTCAAGCTTTCGTCTCCCCTTTGTAAAATTTCCTCCATGTCACCCCACTGACATCTACCTAACTCGTTGTTCCCCATCTGATTTCCACAAGAAGGCTAGGCGTATCCTCGGTTAGCACACATTCGCTTGATATATTGGAATTTTCTACCTCTGTGTTGTTTTATCCATTTACACTACTGCTACTTAACCATTTTCAGACTCACACCACAATATATAATAGAGATGAAAAGTCACACTGAAATTTACTAAGTGACTCGACTCTCCTGCTTTATTCATTTTCATTTCTTATTTCAAATTCTGTGTATACATCTACTCACCCTTTTTTGTATGCATAAATAATTCTTCAAATGAAATGAACAGTTGTCTGGAATCGATTTTTATGTCTTAGGCTACGAACTACGCATATTATGTGTGAGGGAGAGAGAGAGAGAGCTAATGACAGCTGAGTGCTTTAGTCTATGAGCCATATATCTTCATGAAAAAAGATGAAGCTTCCTCAAATGCAATTCTGAATTATATTAAATATACAAGAAAGTTCAGCTGAATACCTATTTTATTCAATAAATTTTGACTTGAAAAAAAAAGAATAATCACAATTTTTTATAATACATTCTTCTCATTCCTTTGCGTTACGAGTGGAATGCTAAGGCTTCAAGCTTTGAGATTTTCTTGAATTTCAGTTACAGTGAGGATTTTTCTTACGAGGTGGTGGAGTTTCCAGCTTCATACTGGGCTTTCTACCCTCTACGTGAGGGGTTAGACAGAGTGCGTTGGCCGAGGGGGGGGGGGGTTGAATCCGGATCACTTGTGTGGTTGATGAGCATCTTGCCATTGAACCACCGATGCACAGCTTACGCTTATAATAAATGAAGAATATATATACAATTTACCGAAATACACACATTTTATTAAAAAAATCATAACATCGTCAAACCAAAACAGTTTTCAATTTCATTAACCAACACTCACCAATACCCTGAATACTATCAGGTTCTGTTTCATATTTGAACTTTTCTGATTCTTGATACCAGTGTTCAATTAATTCTTTGCCTAGAGTTTTTTTGTTTTCATAAAAAATAAATTATACATTCAAAAAATATTTCATTTTATTAAATAATTGTTATAATAAAAGATGAATAATGAATTTGTGCCAATTAAAGTTTTCAATTTGATTCATATCCACATTTAACACTTCCAGTTGCTTTGATGATATCTTTTTCGATACTGTTGCGTAACACGTGTGTCGAACTTTCAGAGAAAAATCAGCATAAACTAGATGGTGGTTATAAGCTCACCAGTTTTTAAACAACAACCCAAAGGAGAAAAGTATTTTAAATTCCCAGCATTTCAAAGCCTTGAGAGAGCTACGGGACAATTCTAATATAATTATCACGAAACCTGATAAAGGTTCTGGAGTCGTCATTATAAATAAAAGTGACTACAAATCTAAAATGATGTCTAGTCTTGATGATAAGAGCAAATTTAGCCGTGACCCCTCCTCAGAAGATATTCAGTTGTTGCAGGGCACAGTGACAGCTAATCTAGTGAAGCTTCATGGCCTAAATGCTATAAGTAAAGATAAATTTGACTTTAAAGCCATCAGAATGTAAATTCCCGCATTTGTATGGTTTGCCAAAACACATAAACCCAATAATCCTCTACGTCCTTTATTGTCAATGTGCAGATCCCCAACGCATAAACTTGCTGAATGGTTAGTAGAATTATTGCTGTCTGTCTGTTTTCGACATAGAACTTTGCACATATGTGCGGCAGTTCAAGTCGCCACACTCCATGTAGCACACAAAGGAAGAGAAGAAAGTAGGAGAATGCATAATATAACAGAACAAATGTGAGACAAAGGATAGTAATAACAAGAACAAAACAGTTTCATCGGAAATCATAAGTCACAAGGAGTGGATGCATCTGCGCCACTGAGAACGATTTTGAGCCATGTCACCAATTGTTTCCAACCATTGGTTTTTACCGTCCCGAGGACCCCAACCAGGAAGTCTACATCTCCCTACGTGACTTAGACTAACTGTTGTGGATTTCATTGACTGGTGCCATGTTTTCGTTTGACCGCCGCTAGCTCTTTTCCAGCCTGGCCCTATATCAGCTAACATTGCCCGTCGAGGAAGGCGATGACTAGGCATACGTAACACATGACCCAACCATCTCAGTCGATGTAATTTCACAGTCTCATCGATTGATTTCCCCGCCTTACCTAGCACTCGACGCCTAACCTCAATATTGCTCACCTTATTATACCACTTCACGCGGGAGATGGAACGCAGACACCTATGATCGAAGACAGCTAATCTTTTCATGTCTTCTGCTCTCAATGGCCAGGTCTCACAGCCATAAAGGAGGACGGAGCGGACTGTTGAGCAGTACACACGCCCTTTGGTCGATAGTCGGATATCGCGTCTACGCCAGAGACGGCGTAAACTGGCGTATGCGAACCTAGCCCTCTGTATTCGTGCTGATATTTCGTCTGAGATCAACCCGTTGGGGCTGATGGTACTTCCCAAGTAATTGAAGCGGTCAACGTGCTCTACCGCTTCACTTCCTATTTCTAATCTAGGGGTCGGTGAAGTCCAATCCTGCAGCATCATCTTACATCTTACAGGGGCGAATCGCATGCCAAACATTCTTAGATTGCAGCTCAAGGTGTTCAGTAGACTCTGCATTTACTCAGAGTCCTCGCCTAGAAGGACTATATCGTCCGCATATTCTAGGTCGACGAGATTATTCCCTTGTAACAAGTCAATCACTGAGTCCCTGAAGTGTGTTAGGGTTAAGTCCATTAGCACGTCTATGATGAAGTTGAATAGAAATGGGGATAATGGGCATCCTTGACGGACGCCACTAGTCGTCACCACTTCAGATGACAACTCGCCATAAGCCCTCACCTGGCTGCATGAGTACGAGTAGAGTGCCTTAATCAGTGCAATGTATTTTCTCGGCATTCCCTTACAGCCAAGCATCGCCAGAGAACCTCTCGGTCGACAGAATCGAATGCCGCCTTTAGGTCAAGAAATATAATGATTGTCGGACGCCGGTAGGAATGCCTATGTTCTAGAATCTGTCGAAGGGTGAAGATATGATCAATACAACCTCTTCCTGGCCTAAAACCTGCCTGGTTTTCCCGTGTTTGTGTCTCCCGAGCACCACTTAGTCTACGCAGTATTATTGAGCCTAGGATTTTAGATACTATATTAGTCAAGCTAATCCCTCTGTGATTATCACAGGAAGACTTGTCTCCCTTCTTGTATATCGGGATGATCAGTGACTTACACCAACCCGATGGGACTTCCTCTGATTCCCAGACGCTGCCTAGAACCTCAATTAATGCAGACAGTAAACTGTCTCCACCGTACTTAAATACCTCTGGAGTCAATCCATCAGGTCCCGCTGCTTTGCCTTGCTTCAGATTAGTGACAGCTCTAGTAACCTCATTTAGGGACGGAGGACCTGTGTCTATATCCCATTCAGGGAGGTGTTGGATGTTCGGCAGGTTAAGTGTGGCTGTGAGCCAATTAAACTGCTCCTCATAGTGTTCTTTCCAGCGCTCCAGACGTCTATCCTGGGAGCTAATTATGGTGCCATTTTTCTCCGAGATTGTTTCGCTTATCATTTGCCTTTTGCCACCTGTTTCCCTGATGAGTCTAAAGAGTTGCCTAGTGTTGCCTATCGCCGATGCTTTTTCCATCTCTTTCGCCTTTGTCAACCACCACTGTTCACGGTCCTTGCGGAGACTTTTCGTAAGTTTCCTTTTGTGCAGCTTTCGCTCCTCATTGAATTCGGAGCTCGCCGGAATAAGTCTTCTAGCATCTATCAGTTCGGATGAAGCAGTCGAAATCCAATGGTTTTTACTCACCTTTGGATTTACCTTATTCACAGCTTTTACAGCTGTATCTATGGCTGATTGAATATTCTTCCAGGCTTCTTCAGGGTGAGCGCAGCTGTCGAACTCAGATATGTGTTTAGCTAGTTCTTCCTCAAATAGGGACTTAGTTTGCTGATCGAGCTGGGGACGTGATGGTTTTACCGCCAGCTGTTTCCTACGTCCGTTCAGTCGTAAGCACACACGAGCGCGGACCAGTGCGTGATCGGTATCTACACACGTGTTCCAGAAGGAGCGGCAATCTCCTACCGACCCACGCCAACGATAGCTTATTGCTATGTGGTCTATTTGTGTCCAGCGTTGATTTGATGATGGGGGTCGCCAAGTCAAACAGTGTCTGTCCTTGTGTTTGAAGTTAGTGCTTACAAGAAACAAATGATTATCTGAACAGAACTGTAGGAGACGGTCACCGTTGTCGGTTCGCTGGCACGGAATTCCGTATGTGCCACCGACATTCTTCTCAGATGCAAGAATTATTGCATCCAGTTAAAACACAATTCTGTAAGTATTTATTAAAAGATACATTTGAGCTGGTTAATTCCCTTGATGATATTAGTATTATGAATAAAAATATGTATTCTTTTGATGTAAACTCTTTATTCACTAATGTGAATCTGCTTAAAACAACTGACATTTTGTGTGATTACATTTCCACACATAATTTTTTCATCCCGTTCTCTATATCTTATTTAAGGAATTTATTACTTTATTGTACTAGCAATGTTAGTTTTACTTTTGAAGGCGATTGTTTCCGCCAGGTTGATATTGTCACTATGGGAAGTCCGTTAGGGCCCCTTTTAGCAGATATCTATATGTCGCACATTGAGAGTTTATCAGAGGATTTAATCGAAAATGTGCCACTTTATAGAAGGTATGTAGACGACATTGTAATCACCTCAATTTTAAATCGAATGAATGAAGTTCGGAACAGCATATCACTTACGTCTGTAAAACAGGAAGATAATTGTTTATCTTTCCTAGGCATATTGCTTAGTCGACGGTCTGATGGATCAGTAAAACAATCTATTTATGGAAAACCTACCTGGACATGACAGTATCTTAATTACCACAGTTTCTGCCCTGTTCGGTACAAAAGAGCCTTAGTAAGGCGCCTCTTCAGCAGAATGCAACGAATATGCAAGGTTAACACACTTGATGAGGAAGGAAGAAAGTTGAGTCAAACTCTGGTTGGTAATTCCATTATGGGTAAATTTTATTTTGATAGAGTCTCACAGTGTTATACAGTAATATTTACTGATGACGTTTCGAGCACAATTTATTGCTATTGATATGATTATGAGCAATAAATTGTGCTCGAAACGTCATTAGTAAATATTACTGTATAACACTGTGAGACTCTATCAAAATAAAATTTACCCATAATGGAATTACACTCTACCACAGTGCCCAAGTTTTATTCTTATATCTGGTTGGTAATGATTATCCAGACAAGTTCATCAGAAGATATAAAGCAGTCAGAACACCAAGACTCACCTCCAAATCGTCGCTAAGAAAGACGTGTACATCAAGCTACCCTTTATGGGGGATCACAGTAGCTTGACAAACAGACAAAGATTGAACGCTGCCGTTAAAGAGACTTTTTATTCAGCTAAGATCATAATAATTGAGAATGTGAACCCGATATATCTATCTAAGCCCTTAGAACGTGAGAAAAATGATGTCACATCCCACTGTATTTGCCAATTTGAATGTACATGTGGCCATAGATACATAAGGAGGACTCATCGATCTCTGCAAGTAAGGGCTTCAGAAGCAAATAGAATCCCCTGAACCCATTAATGATCGGAACAGACGACCTAGCTGCTATACTGCGAAACATATGATACAGACAGGATATAAAATTCATGTTTACATGTCAATTAAACCTATCTATAAAACGTGTTTGGGGCGTTTGTGGAAGCCCTAGCTGTCAAATAGGAAGTTGAAACCACACTTATGCGTTCAAAAACAATCCGTCATCACACTAAACCATCTTTGATAAATTAGATTGTTTACCTTTTTTCTTTTTAACAGATTGCTCTGATACAGCACGTATACAGTTTAAACTTACATAATATAAACTTAAGTTCAAATGAACCGGATATATGAATGAAATATGCTAGAAATTGACGGAAACTCAGAGGTGAACGTCATGCTTTATTATTAATGGGGTTTTAGGATTCCTCTGTTAAAGCAAGTCTTGTTTGATGACCTACACAATGAAACAGTCAAATTTCTAAAAAAACTTTTTACCTGTCTCATGAAGTTCTGAAAATACAAGCAGCTTTGTAAAGTGAAAAAAAATACTTGAAGTCGATATTGTTACTTCATACAGCCGGTTCTCTTTAACAGTTTGAATAAAGAAATAACGAACATATTTGCAGGCAGGATAATACCAACTCGTTTTATTCCGTCATGGATTCTCTCACCGCAACTGCCGACATCCTAAATAAATCAATCATATGTTACAAAATGGTCTCTGAACATACTTCTTTTTACAATGACTTCAAGTTATAGATAGAGAGTATAAGCATAAGCAACCTAATTTCCAAGATGATATAAGTAGACAATTATTTAGTGTTTCAAGAGTAACTATTTATATAGTAAGAGATGGAATTCAGATTTCTCTTGAAAAGAAGGATGGATGGAGTGGAGACGAAATACAAGATACAACCAGAGAGTTAATTTATCCATATTATGGTGGAGAATTCACGAGGGTGGTGGTGGGGTGAATAGTGAAGTAAAATTATAAATTAGATAAAATAATTTAATTTAGGAGATTTGGAACTTGAACAGTGAGTTCACCTCAGTGAGTGAAAATCAAAATCATGATTGAGTGGAATGTTATGTATGCAACAGAACAAAACACAAAAGCATACGAACAAAACAATTATGGTTAGCAGGTCGGGTATTGAAAGATTAGTTACACTCTCTTTCTGTATGCATAGGTCAGGTCGAAGTATTTTGATGATGACAATGGCTTCTGCGAACCGAAGTAACCATGCTTTTTTTGTGTGCTGATTGATTATTTTGAAGGACTGACTAATTTCCACTTTATGTCCCGTGTCAATTAGAAGTCTGGCAATTGCGCTTGAGAAAATTTTCCTGCTTTTCATATGGGGACACTTCTGGGGATGTGCTCAGAGAATCTAGTAGACGCTCTTTTCTCAGTCCTTCCTATTTACTTGCTGTCACAAGTGAAGGTGAATTGGTAATTGAAGTTGACATGCAGAGCAGGATACTTATCTGCCTTTGATTGGGTTAACGAGCGTAGTGTTGTAAAATGGAACGAGTCTAGAGGCGGGAAATGTTCTTTTCAATGCACCTTTGATTCTGTTTTCCCTTCTGATAGATACTTCGTCGCCCTTGTACGCTAGACAGAACTGCCACACCAACCACCCACAACATTTACATAGATTACATTAACTCGGTGTGACTAGAAGCAGAAAGCCTACATTATCCTGTTTACTGGTAATATGTTAAGCTAGTGTATCATGTATCGATTTAAACGAAGTGGAATACATATTTAAACTTACAGTTATCCTCTATTCGTCCATTAGACCAACGACTTCCCACATTTTCTCCAACTCGTAAACCTTGATAAATATATCCACTGTTTGATAAATGTGTTTGTTGAAGTAAATTATCAGCCCATTGTTGAGCCATATCCGAAAGATTCTGTCATTGCAAAAAGTTAAATAGAAAGTTTGAGGAAACCATTAATAATATTCTAGTTGACTGAGAAATTTTCACGCAATAATAACAAAGGACAGTGATATATCCACATATATACAAAGTTCAACTCCCTAACACAGACACCAATGACAATGACAGAGTGAATACAACAGACAAATAGAATAAACTGAGGATGGCAAATAATAATCATGTGATGCAAACTAGGTGAAAAATAGAAAAAAGGACAGAGAAAAAAAATCAGCGTACATTGACGTATAAAAGCATGTAGATGTCAAATGAATTATCTTAGATAACCTTGGGCAAATCATATACATAGAGGTTGGACGTAATTTTTTAGATGTATAGGGTAGGTTTATTTTAATGAATTATCTACAGCTTCAGCTATAGGTAAGAGACTTAATCATATACCTTTAAACAAACTGTTCGGCGTTTCATGTATGGATGTAAATATATATTTTGTTTTCAAGTGGTCATTATTTTATAGATATTATAGTAATAATATTCTAGACGAATCCTGTGCTTTTGGATTTGACGCGTTACTCAAAGTGTGTCTTATTTATCGATTGGATTGTCGCTCTGGATTTCTTCGAGGAAGTGTACAGTTCCTGAGTAATAAACAGCGACGACCCTGACGTTGTGGTTACCTTAGAGTATCCTCTAGTAGGTATCCTCAATAAAATTCAAACTGACACATTGCAAAAATGGCTAATACACCACAGGATTAGACAGAAATACAAAAGAATAATGTAGCTGAATATCTGTTGTCCCAATATACGATCCTGAAAGCACTATATGTACTATGCCTTATACCTATCTCTATAAGACGAATAACAGACCTCATTAAATACTGTCATGAAACTACTGAAATATATATAAGTCAGTTCCAATGATCACAATTAAACAGCAATCATATGATTGTGCTATTTGATAGTTGTTTATATGAATGTCCCTGGAAGAAAAAACTAATAAAGTACAGCATCCACCATATAAATGAAAAATCAAATTAAAAAGAATAAGGCAATACTAATAATCTACCGGATCAAGTACGAGGGGGCTGGATTCATGTTGACTGCGGTATTGATTATGAAGTTCAACAACAGCATGAATAGACTCTTCACGATGTTTACTGCGATCCTATCAACAAAAAGCAGGGAAAAAACAGTTGGTTTTCAGTGTATTTAAGGAGGAAATCAGATTATGTTTTTAAATTTGAACATCAGTCCCTTACTTATAATTGACTAACTTTGTAATGAATCTATTGATAGGAGACACCAACCTGGGCCCAAAAAAATTCGCTCATCAATATTAATGGTATGGTAACAGTAGATGACGACAGACTTGGTAAAGGAAATGTTTATTTGCAATTCGGTATCTCTATACAGCCAAATTATCTGCACTTTTCCTTCAACGCATCATTTCCACAGATAATCTGTGTTGTCCTACTTCTGTCCTCTCTTTATATTGTGTTTCTTTGTATTCCTTTATCGTCTCCCATGTATCTCCGCAACGTTGTATCATTTGCTTTTACTGACATCAAATTTATCTCCCTGTTATTTGATGTATTTTTGTGCCGATGAACATCTTATCAGTAGCACATGCCACAGTTTGATATCACTAAACTCTGAAATTTAACATGGAGAAATTATCAGAATTTCAAAAATGTTACTGATACCAATGACAGTGGCAAAGAAAAAGATAGGTTTTAAAGTTTTCGTAAGGAATATAAAATAATTCTGACGGCAAACTTTTCAAAAATCATCAAAACTGTAAATGTCACGCTACGTAGAACATTTAAAACATAAATAAAAACCAGAAAATAGTCACAAAAAGTGAACAAAGAAATAAAGAAAGGAAGGATGATGTAGATATTTTTCAAAATCATGCTTAACAGAAGAATGTTACATCGATGGTAACTGTCTACTCAATAACACACAAACATTAGATTTAAAACTATTCAATAAACTTGTTCGATGATAAAGTGTCCCTCTAGTCAATTTTCTGGGGAAATATTTCCACTTTTGATCGATTTTCTCATCATATCATCATTTCAGCTGTTCATAAAGTCAAAGCTTCCCAGTTCACGAATATTTTTGAAATATTTTGCATAGAATTGTGTCATTCACATTTCTTTTAGTACATTGGTAAGCGAAGTTAAACAAGTTTACATTCCATTACAAAACAAATGTAAAACAGGTTGTTAGGTTACAGAAAGTCGGCAAATTTAAAATACCGTAGCCAAAACCACGGTGACCTTGGACGACCAATCCGAATTCAGATGCGCAAGATTCTCATAATCGTTGAAAAATACACTAAAAATACTACTAAATTGATATTACACTGTATGATTGTAGTTTATGTGTTGTAAGAATGTCTCCTAGTCAATACACAGACGATCTATAGAGAAATCAAACCATGCGCGACATACCCATTAATTCAAGTGACTGTAGGCCATGGTACTTTGAGATCCATTGGTATTTCTGATACTATTCTTCAACCTACTCTCAGCTCTTAACGTAATCCTGATTCCTCCCGGCCGATAGCTGCTACCTTGACGTGGTGGTCGGGCTTGCACATCGCAATGACCCAACGAGCTACACTGGCTGGAACTTATGTTCCTGTAGGTCCTACCATGCCAGAAAGGTTGTTTGGATAGCGGTTAGACAAAAAACCGCTACCCAATTCAACATTATGATTCAAACAAATCCACAAAATATCATGCCGGATCGGTCGGGGCCCGGATTAACAACGATCGCGCTTCCTGCTGCCGTGTCACAGGGCAGAAGTGATAAATATGCTACTGAGATACACCAAACAAGAAAAAACAAACAAAAACAGGCCGCGTGTGACAGGCCTCAAGCAGTTGTCCCCTGGGCTCTGCGGTCACGCAACACTAACCTTTCTCTATTTCAGGTACCCGAAGACTCAACCAACTTCCACGGTGTGGGCAGCCGGAAAGTAACAACCGCCCACACACTTCCAAAAGCACACGAAGCCTATCTGAGCATCACTCTTCCCTACTCACATCACCTTCTTCATCTTGCTTCTCTACTACAGCTAGCACTATTCTTCAGGCTAGTGAGCCATCTTCACTTTACTCTGCGTCCACAAACAACGATGAGAACCATAGAAACAACCAGATAGCCTTTTAAAGCCACGTCGCCAACTTCATATGGGAGCTTTTAACGTCAGGACCCTCTGCCAAATCGGACAACAGGCATCACTAGCAAGAACCCTGGAATCTAGAGCCATGGATGTATGTTGTGTTTTGGAGACACGCATACAAGACCCGAGTGTGGTCAATCACTTGACATCACCCGGTCAACAAGGTGAATCTGCAAAATTAACTTTAAGGGTGTCGGGAGACCCCTTAGCTAGCTCACGAGGACTCGCAGGTGTAGGGATAGCACTGAGTGTTAGGGCGGAAAAATCACTCTTTGACTGGATCCCAGTAGATAGTCGTATGTGCGTGGTCCGTCTGAACGGGTCCGTTAAAAGAAGGAAAGACGGCGCTACCCGTCGTTGCCTTTTCGTAGTCTCCGCTTACGCCCCAACAGATTGCAGTTCGGATGAATTAAAAGATGACTTCTACCGGAAACTGCCTAATTTGCTGCAAAAAGCAAAACGTCCAGAAATAGTTGTTTTAGCAGGCGACTTCAATGCCCAAGTAGGGAAGTTGTGCCAGACTGAGAAGTATGTAGGTGGTACGTATGGAGTTCCCTGCCGACGAACCGACAACGGTGATCGTCTTCTTCAGTTTTGCTCAGATAATCATCTGTTCCTAGTCAGCACTAACTTTAGGCACAAAGAAAGACATTGTGTAACCTGGCGACCTCCATCACCAAATCAACGCTGGACTCAGATAGACCACATAGCCATAGGGTATCGTTGGCGAGGGTCAGTAGAAGACTGTCGTTCCTTCTGGAATACGTGTGTAGACTCTGATCACGCTCTGGTTCGCGCACGTTTATGCTTACGACTAAATGGACATAAGAAATTGACGGCAGAGAAACAGTTACTTCCCCAACTAGATCGTGACACTGAGTCCTTATTTAAGGAAGAAATAGCGAAACTAGTTTCTGAGGTCGACAGCAGGACTTCCCCTGACGTAGCCTGGCACAACATACAGTTAGCTGTGGACACAGCTGTGAAAGCTGTTAATAAGCTAAAACCTAAAGTTAATAAAAGCCATTGGATCTCTACCGCCTCATCCGAACTGATTGACGCAAGAAGACTGATTCCAGCGAGCTCCAATTATGATGAGGAGCGAAAGGTACTTAAACGAAGACTAACAAAAAGTCTTCGCAAGGACCGTGAACAGTGGTGGGCGACAAAAGCGAAAGAGATGGAAAAGGCATCGGCGATTGGCAACACCAGACAACTATTCAGGCTTATCAGGGAAACAGGTGGCAAAAGGCAAATGATAAGCGAAACAATCTCGGAGAAAAATGGCACCATAATTAGCTCCCAGGATAGACGTCTGGAGCGCTGGAAAGAACACTATGAGGAGCAGTTTAATTGGCCCACAGCCACACTTAACCTGCCGAACATCCAACACCTCCCTGAATGGGATATAGACACAGGTCCTCCGTCCCTAAATGAGGTTACTAAAGCTGTCACTAATCTGAAGCAAGGCAAAGCAGCGGGACCTGATGGAGTGACTCCAGAGGTATTTAAGTATGGTGGAGACAGTTTACTGTCTGCATTAATTGAGGTTCTAGGCAGCGTCTGGGAATCAGAGGAAGTCCCATCGGGTTGGTGTAAGTCACTGATCATCCCGATATACAAGAAGGGAGACAAGTCTTCCTGTGATAATCACAGAGGGATTAGCTTGACTAATATAGTATCTAAAATCCTAGGCTCAATAATACTGCGTAGACTAAGTGGTGCTCGGGAGACACAAACACGAGAAAACCAGGCAGGTTTTAGGCCAGGTAGAGGGTGTATTGATCATATCTTCACCCTTCGACAGATTCTAGAACATAGGCATTCCTACCGGCGTCCGACAATCATTATATTTCTTGACCTAAAGGCGGCATTCGATTCTGTCGACCGAGAGGTTCTCTGGCGATGCTTGGCTGTAAGGGAATGCCGAGAAAATACATTGCACTGATTAAGGCACTCTACTCGTACTCATGCAGCCAGGTGAGGGCTTATGGCGAGTTGTCATCTGAAGTGGTGACGACTAGTGGCGTCCGTCAAGGATGCCCATTATCCCCATTTCTATTCAACTTCATCATAGACGTACTAATGGACTTAACCCTAACACACTTCAGGGACTCAGTGATTGACTTGTTACAAGGGAATAATCTCGTCGACCTAGAATATGCGGACGATATAGTCCTTCTAGGCGAGGACGCTGACAAAATGCAGAGTCTGATACAACCCTACACCTTTTCTGAATATAGTAAAAACAACGGTTTGTGTAGAGTAAGATTATATCATTTTGTTTCGTCAGTTTCTCTTCAGCCACGCATAAGGTGGCGATGCAATTTTTTATATTAAGTATGTGTGCAAAGGAATTCTCTAACATCATATACCAGTTAACAGGAAGCTCCAAAAAAATCATGTTCAAGTTAATCAGTTTCTAGTTTTTTTTCCAGATATTTTGAAAAAGGAGTTGTGTAATAAAGACAAGAGATTGATGATGAATAACTAAGTTGCATAATAATGGGATGAGTTCAACTCAAGTAATAGAAAGAAAGAAATAAACTCAAAGCAAACGATTGTGTAATCATGGGATGTCTGGCGATAACAGTGTTGAAACTTTCTATAGTTTGGTTTGTAAGGATTAGTTATGTTTTACGAGTTGATCACGGACTGATATCAGTTGAAACTGTTCTTTCCATTGAGACGTAGGCTTCTCAGTACATGTTTACAGAATTTAGTGTGTGCTCCTCTTTTTGTCCTCCCATTTTAACTGCTGCAGCAGATACCTATAAGTTTGTATACACAGCTCGATGGGGATAGAAGAATCTAATAATAAGGAAATTGTTTCCCAGAGAAAAAATTAGAGAATCAGCTTTTACAGAAGATACATCATTCACAAAATGCATCGTTTATCAAGAATCATATACAGTATGTGATTCAGACACTCTTCTAACACTGAAGTAACTTACCTCATAAAAATAAAGAACAATCAATCTAGAACTGTATACAAAAGAGGAATACCTTTTTATGGGCATCACTTGATTCCAAAAAATGAAAAATAATGAAGACGGAGAAATAAACATAGTAGTATGAATAAACATTGTAGATTGAGTGAGGAAATATGGACGGTATAAGTGAGGTCTTGAAGATTTAGATGAAGATAAAACACATACACTCCTATTATATCATAGTACACGATTTCTCGTCAAACCACTTAGATTATTCACTTAGTCAACCAGTGAATCCATGCATTTCAGTTGTATTTTAATTTAGTCTTCCTCAACATTCCACCTAATGATAAGGTTAGACATTAGTTCAATATGCATAAAAATAATATCTAGACCACCTCAAGTGATCACAATTTACAACCTTATCAATTAATTCACTTCCTGTGCATAGCACTCTAAGTCTAAGCATTGCACCATGACATTATGTTCTCACAAAAGTGTAAGAGCGAAAAACGTACTCCTTTAATTTCTCGTCTTTTTTTCTGCAAGTTCATATCAAGACTGATTTTCAAAGCAAATTCATCATAGCTTAAATTACTTTAGTTACATAACAACCCAGCAGATCGGATGAAGATGTCAAAGTCAGATAGCCAGAATCAGAAAGGCAAGATACACATTCATCAACCTGAAACCAGTTTGGAAATCTTCTGCACTCACTCAGACAGCATAAACAACAAAATTCGGATTCTGTTCAGCACAAATGTCAAGTCAGTCAGTCAGCTCTTCTATACAGGTCAAAAACTTGCACTGCGTTTCACGAAAACGATTTCCAAGAAACCACTGAAGACTTTTATCAACAGCTGCTCACTTCGCTGGCTGGCTGGCTGGTTCCATACTGAAGACCGAATCGCCCGGCCGGTCAGCCGGCCAGAAACAACTAGCAACAAGAAACTCTGGCTGGGAACGAACCAACAGGTGAGAGCCGATTGCTCAACAAGTATGTAGGAGAAAATGGAGATGGATTGATCAGACATACGATGAGGAAATCGTCGAATGACATCGCGTGCATTGCAGGCCATCGCTGTAGTTGAATCCCAATAATGGAATGGGAAGCGAGGAGTGGGTTGTCGGTGCGAATGCGACATGGAGGAGATCGTGTGTTGGGCAGGAAGAGGGGGAGATGAGAGATTATGGGCAATCGTGGGGTTAGCCAGATGAAGAGGACAGCAGAAAATAGAACAAAGCGGAGATGTGTTGTTGAAGCCTTATGTTCCACTCGGAACCCAAGGGAATAATAAGGTCCCTACTGATTGGAAGAACGACTACCTCATCAAACTGCCAAAGAAGGGTGAATTAAGCCCCTCCAAGAGCTGGAGTGGAATAATGCTCTTGTCCACGCCAAGTGAAATGTAAAGTCACGTCATCCCGGAGCGAATAAAAGACGCATTGGATGCAGAACTCCGCCAAGCCGGAACAAGCTGGATTCAGGAAAGACGAATCATGTGCTGATCAGATTGCAACTCCACGCATCATCGTCGAACAAAGCATAGAATGGCAGTCGAACCTCTAACTCAACTTCATTGACGTCGTACTGGCCGTCGACAGACAACGTTGACCGAGAAGTAATTTGGAAACTACTTCAACACTATGGAGTACCTCAAGTCCTTATCAGCCTCATTCAACAGCTATATGACAATGCCACGTGTCGGGTGATCCACAACGGAAAACTCAGCGAGACGTCCGATGTGCATACTGAAGTAAGATGAGGCTGCCTGTAATCACCGATGATATTCTTAATTGTGGTGGATTGGATTATGCGACGGACTGTGGGGAGTGAGGAGTTAGGAATACGCTGGACGACCGATAAGAAGACTTTAGAAGATCTGGATTTCGCAGATGATATATGCCTAATGTCGCACAAACTCGAAGACTTGAAGGCAGGCGAGAAACAACCAACTGGCTGAAGAAGCAGGCGATGAAGACAGGACTCCAGGTAAACACAAAGAAGACGCAGGTGATGAAGATAACCGACCAACAGCAACAACAACCAGCACCAATCGCCATTAACGGGAATGATTTAAAAGAGATTGGCTCCTTAACTTATCTGGGAAGCATCGTTTCAACTACAGGCAGTCAGAACGGATGAAGATATCAAATTCAGAATCGTAAAGGTAAGATACGCCTTCATCAACCTGAAACCAATTTGGAAATCTTCTGCACTCAACATATGGAACAAGATTCGGATTCTGTTCAACACCAATCTCAAGTCGGTCCTTTTATACGGGTCAGAAACTTAGCAGGCGTGTGACGAAAATGATTTCCAACAGGTTGTAATCTTTCATCAACAGCTGTCTTCGCTCCATACTGAAGATTAAATGGTCAGAAAGAATTAGTAACAAGATACTGTAGGAACAAACCAAGCTAGAACCGATTGGTCAACAAATGTGTAGGAGAAAATGGAAATGAACTGCGCACACATTAAGGAGGCCGTCGAATGACGTCGCGCACAATGCAGCCCTTCCTCCAGTGGAATCCCAAAGGGGAGCGACGACTGGGTCGTGCTAGAGTGACATGGAGAAGGTCGTGTCACGAGGAGATGAGAGAGTTTGGGCAATCGTGGACCAAGCTGAAGAGGATGGCAGGAAACAGAACAAAGTGGAGATGTGCTGTTGAAGCCCTGTGTTTCATTTGGAACCCAAGGGAACAATAACAATAATAATCTCATTGTTTGCTTGGTAAAAGAAATGTTTATTTGCAATTCGGTATCTCTATACAGCCAAATTATCTGCACTTTTCCTTCAACGCATCATTTCCACAGATAATCTGTGTTGTCCTACTTCTGTCCTCTCTTTATATTGTGTTTCTTTGTATTCCTTTATCGTCTCCCATGTATCTCCGCAACGTTGTATCATTTGCTTTTACTGACATCAAATTTATCTCCCTGTTATTTGATGTATTTTTGTGCCGATGAACATCTTTATATATATATATATATATATATATATATATATATATATACTAGTGGTAAATCTTATCAGTAGCACACACCACACCACATGGTGTAATTCTGGATGCTCAATACTACGCCAAACTGGAATTAAAATATTTAAAACAAGTGAATCATTTACCCAATATAGCGTAAAATCTTATGGTCTTATGCTTTCTACTTTTACACAAACAATGAGAGACAATAATAAATTACAGATATACGTATTAAGGAGATATGTTTCAAATACAAACACCATAATAGCAACTTCTCCAATATTATAAGCAAATGTAATTAGCTTAATACGTACCAGAGATTGATTTATAGAATGCCTACACCGATTCCCACTTAGCTTTAATTATGAAACATCATTGCGACAGGTTGATTTAACCGAAGATAAGTGTAACTATTCAATGTTGTTTACATACAAAAAATACGCACGTCAAGACGGAAACAATTATAGAAATGCATCCTTTCAGATTGCCAAATGTTAGTACAACAAAGACACAGAAAACTAAGTGAAACTGAAATGATACTGTAATACTGTGAACGGAGAGAAAATAATCAGAAGACACTGTGTGAAAGTTTTGAGGCATTTGAAGACGAGGAAAAAAGTGAATACATCTGTATTAACTTGAGAGATTCTACATCATCTAAGTGAGAGCCTCAAGAGGCTGATATTTCACCGCCTGAGAACCCAATCAAACACCATTTACACTTGTCTACGTGGTTCAAGTTAGAAATCCGAAACTTCATAAGCTACATTACAATGTTTTTCATCATATTATGTCAGAATAATAAACAATCACCAAGCAGGATTAATGAAATCTTATTCATATTAAAGATTATAAGGGCATAAATACGACAATCAACACATGTAAGTACATATATATATATATATATATATATATATATAATCGAACCCCTGGAGAAAACTTACAACAAAATGATTCTTTTGTGAATCGCCAGATGCCATAATTGCTTGATTTTCACGAGCATCCGTATACACTTCATTGATACATCTTCTCGTCTAAATTTAAGTAAATAAAATAATATGATTTAATAATCTCCAGTAACTACGGGAATTTAAGAATTTCTCCAACGTTATTTTAAAAGTTTGTCCATTAGAAATCATAAATGATAGTGTCAGACTTCTTAATTTGAGTATCCGCACAACTTATTCAAAAGAAGAGGACGCATGCAGCGACAAAGCTGAATTTTAGACACCCAAGGTGTGTAGACGGTGCACCAATGACCTTGGTCTGAGCAGTTGTGCTAGGAAGCAAATCTGGCCTCTAATTCTAATCTTTCTTTAACCTAACCTCAATCTATCCCTAACCAACCATAATACCTCTCGAATTAGGTCAATCTACGCCTAACCTAAAACTAACCAGATATCCTGTTTGGTATTATTAAATTGAATTCTGAACCTCTCTTCACGAGTATTGTGTTATTCACCTGGTTTCACTGTCTTGCTCCGAATAAGTGTTTCAAGGCTGTCGGGGCATTCGCGCCTGTTGGATGTCTAAAGTTTAACTTCTACCATGCAAAAAGTCGATAATGATAACTACTTCCCCATGCTCTACAGTTCTATATTCATCAATATTAGCATACAACAGTCAGCAAAAGCAAAACAAAAAAATTATATCAAAAACTGTGTTTTAGTAGATAGGATTAAATCCAGTCGAAGTAAGAGACACAATAGCAGGTAGCTAATTTTGGCCATCACTTAAATGCATATCAAAACCTGGAGACAAGATAATAGTAGATAAGGTAAGTAAAAAGTCGATGTGTATGTCCAAAGCAAGTTCACTTTTAACATTTTGAAAAAATTTGGGCATTGGGTACATCGTTACACGAATGTATTGATCAAATGTAATAAAACTATGTGTAGATTGTTGGATTTGATAAGCGTATAGAATTATAAAAGCAGCAAGTCTTTACATAGTGAAATTGGTTATCACATTTGCGTTGGTTTTGTCATTTGATAGGGCAGGGCTGGGGCGTTGTAACCAGGTCAAATTCTGTTTTATTCCATCATTCCTATTCATCAGACAATTTGGATTCCATCTGATATGAAGCGTTTCTGATGATATTAGACGTTATTTGTGATTTCTAAAATTCTTCTGGATTATTTCATTAATGTCAAAAATCAATTTTGTGACCTGATTCTACAGCACCGCATGCAGAAAACCTATGGCTAATGATTTTTCAAACTTTTCTAGTTCAACTGGATTTCTTGGTGGCCGAAAAAATTACCCCATGCTGATGAACGATGGTTAAGTTGTTATATACACGAACTAAGATTTTGTAAATTCCGGTTTCATAATCCTTTTATAAAGCTATTAGCAGCAGGATTGAATACAAAAACTTTTATAATAATGAAAAGTCGGTTTGAAAATGATACTATCAATAATATCCTAAAGTATCGACAGAACAGATTGTTCGAGAGGACTTATACTGAGTACATATCAGCACTCAGTTTTTTAACCACACCAGTACTCTCACAGTGAATCGACAATAAATTTCTGATGATGGCTTCTCTAACATCTGTCAGTTTACATGCTGCAACGGAGCTAGTTACACACACTGTACTTAGACAGCTTTATCATGAGTGCTCATGAGCATGTAACGGTTTGGCTGAGTAGAGGAGTAACAAAATGCATAAATACCGCAACTTTATCCAACTTGGTCTATGGTAAACTTGATCACAGCAGGCACTCAGCGTCATATGTCATGTTCCTAGTAGCTTGTCAGAAGGACCTCCGACGACACCTACCTGTATCTAAGGCGGTAACAATCAACACTAAAAGCATCTGATCTCTGTATCCAGAAGAAATATATCCATCAACTTAGTCTATTTCGGCCCGCAATAAGGTAAGCACATTCGTCATAAACATTTGTTGATAATTAATACTCCAAACCTCTATCTCATTATTTTTTATATTTTTTCCCTTCGTCTATTGGTAAACCTTTACTTCAGACGTTTGTAAATCTATGATATTGTTTAATAAGTTGATTACCACCTAGGTTTACGCAATACATTTTTACATTTATTACATTCACATACTCCTTTTCTTTACCATTGCTGAATTCACCATTACTTGGTGATTGTTCATGATTATTATTATTATTATTATTAGTAGTAGTAGTACCATATTCACAAGACGGCATTAATGCTAGATATGGTCATCATCATAATATTATTATTATTTTGCAGGTGGTTGACAAATACCATATGAAGTAGAACGAATTCATCCTATCCCGCAAAATATACTGTCATCACTGCGGTATTCAAATCATCAGATGCTTGTGATATGAAAGAGAAGACTCAATGCAAAGATGGGCAACACAAGGAGGAGCTAAGTTCAATGTACAATGCACTGAATAAAGAGTGAAGTGAAGAAGAGTGCTAGAAAAGACAAGCGACAATTCCGCGACAAACTGGCAGCTGAAGCAGAGCAGGCAAGTCGCAGGCGAAACAGACCTCAGGAAATTATATCAGATAACCCCGTCTCTATCCGGGAGGAGATAAACACAGAGGAAACTAGTGAAAGATAGTGGAAGGAGTTTGATTAGGATAGAGGAGAAACAAATAAAACAATGGGGTGATTACTTCAGGGGATTCACACTTATCCTTTGATAATATTTACATTCCTACATGGCAGAACAATGAGTGATATATACATATTTTGGTTTCGTGAAAATTCCAGATTTACTTAGGTCAGTTGATAAAATATTGACGCTGATTAATATTGTTGTGAAAATAAAATATGATTAAGGCTGCACCTGGTTACTAATAAAAACTGATACCATGTTCCCTCATAATTCCTAAGATTTTTCAAATTTTACATTGTTTTACTTCTTCTAGATTATTATATTACAAAGTAGAAAAATATCCACTAAACAAGCATAATCTCCAGAAGTTTTGACTGTGTGTAACCATATATAACAGAGTACAAGTTTATAAACTGAATAGTAAGTTTTACTTATTGTAAAGGATTTAATGATCCCATCTGTGCGCTGAAGTCATTGCAAGTGGACGTTAGATCTAAAACTCCAAGCCAACATGACACAAATGAAACTGATATCTCTGAGTTAACCTATAGCAGCCATAGCTTTGATTGATAACCTGATCATGTATGCACTTCAGTTTCACCTACAAAGCTGCATTGTAGGTGAATCCAGTGATAAGAAAATCTCTGCAGATAACTAATCACACTTAATTTGTAGTTGGACAGTAGTCAATAACTAGTGTAATGTGTCTAGTCTAGTGTCCAATCAAAAATATCCCATACAGTCCTACAGGAGGTCAATCGCGAGCCCAAATAGCTCAGCGGTAACATCTCTCACTGCAGGCGGCACTGGGGGACATGGGTTCTTCCCTTCAAGGTTGAAGATACGCCTTGCTGACTGGTGATTTTCAACTAGAAAAAAACCTAGGTCGAACAAGGCTTCCTGTCGACTGCCTCCAACCATCTAATAATCACCACTGAGGTCATCAAGGAAGACATTTTACGCATTCATCAAGAATCCAAAAAGCTAACTTCATTTCGCAGTTGTCGCTGAAGATGCCGTCTAAAAGGACAAAGTACAAGCTTTGTATTTAAACTATCCAGGTCACAGAATACAACAGCAAAAACATCCACTAAAGCTTCTAAAAGGCCACTATTACTGTAGAGAGTATTTACTAATATTATTATTGTCAAAGGGTTCTGAGTCAAAAGTATAACAGTAAGAAGTAGAAAAAGAAATGTACAACTTTTGGATAAATTTTAATTACCTTTCCTGTTTCATCAGTCGACTCTGAAATCTCCCTTCGAACGTTGTACAGTTTTCCATCATTTTCCTTCAATGTTTCAGTGATAACTGTTTTTGGAACATCTATTGTAGAAAACACAAGGATTAGATAAAATGAAAACTTTAACATACCTGAAAAACAAAACCAAGATTGTTTTAATGAATAACTAGGAGTGATGAGAGTAGATTAATGACGCTATGATTGTCAATTTTTTAAATCGATAATGCACTGTCAAGTACTACACATAACAAAGATATAAATTAGTTACACAATCAATGGTAAACAACCAATCTGTAAGTGAAAACTATTTGATTTTGTCGACATAAGCAGTGGATACTAGGAAGTCTTAGAAACGCCCAGGTACACCAAAAGGAAAGCTGTTAAATTACTATCACACGCTATACAGTGGAAACCACACACACAAACATACAGATACTGAAATAAGTGATTTTAAAGACTGGAGGTAAAACAGTTGTGATGTGATAGACCATGACTACCCAATAAGTCCAACACATACGAACATTTGGTAAGCCAAGTAGGTCGCTATATTTGTGGAAATCTAAAGAAACGTCTATTCGTATTAATTAAATCTGAAGAACGTCGGGCTTAACTCTGAGGCCTATTATGACACAAGTTTATGCATTTGACATAAGTCTGCAAAGAGAATTTATAACTTACCAGCATTGGGAACAGATGCATCACTTTTTGATTGGTGCACACTTTCCTTTGGTAGTTCTTTGGGACGAAAAACGTTCTCCAGATATCTCCCTAGAACGTTTCCTGGAGGACGATAGTGTGCAACAACAACACACTTTCCCGGACCGCGTGCTTTGCCAAAACCGACTTCACGAGTAGAACTCCACACTAGTTGTGTAAAGTTTCCTAACAAACAAAATCTTCTGCGTAAATTGCATTACGAATAGAAACAAAGGATTCACTAACTCAAAAACCAGAATGAGTAAGAGAATGTTAAAATCAACAACAAAATTGTACCATTGTATTTACCTGCAGGTCCCTTCCCACTTTCGTAACTATAGTTCTTGACATCAGCATACCACTGATTTACAACTTCAACGCCTAAAAATGATATCACACGAAGAGAAATAAAAACCTTGAATGTCCACATGAGTTCCTGTGCTTGTTCGTACGCTAATACTTTCTCCGACCTCTCCTCGACTAGAAAGTGGGCTGTTTTTTATTCCATCTTCAGATATTAATTCTTCAGCCCAGTCCTGTGCTGTTTTGTCTAATGCACGACTATGCCGTAAAGTACACACGCCATGAGCGGTTCTTTTTGTGTTATGCTCCCTCAAACAATCTTCTATAAATTCATCCAGACGATTCATCTGCAAGAATAAAATACTTTAGACACAATATGGAAAAAGTGAAAATATTTTACTGCGAGTTTATTTTTGTTAAACTGCTAAACTAATATTTTAAACCAAGAATAATACAAAAAGCAAAACAGGAAATAAGGATAAAACTCAGGCACTGTGGCTGAGTATAACTCCATTATGGATAAAATTTTATTTTGATAAAATCACACAATGTTATACAGTAATATTTACTGATAACTACGTCTCAAGCACAATTTATTACTGCTCATAATCATATCAAAGTACTCACACGACTTTCTTGCTTCATTTATATACATGAGTAAAATTGATTAGACATTTGAGTAAAATTAATATACGATAAGGAGTAATATTAGTGTTATCAATAAAATGCAATAAGATGGATATCGACTCCCAGTCACGAAGATGGTTGTCAGGAGACACAATTCTGTCATTCATGGAGAACTTAAATCAGTTCATCTTATGTTAAAATTTGCGCTGAAGATGTTGTCCAGAATGACGACAAAAGCTTTGCAATTAAACCAAACAGGACAGCGAACACAACTAATTGCAAATCATTCATCTGAGCCACAAATACTCTCTATTATTTCAAGATGGGAAATAAGATATTTTTTATGGTAAAATAAATAATGATGAAACTAATAATGGTAACAAAAATAAGAAAGAACAAAAGGCATCTACAGTTTTACAACATAAGGAGACATCTGAGACCCTACGTGGGATTCTTAGTAGAGCAGGAATTAGAGTGGCATTTGAACGTACAAACAGACTCAGGCAGTACAAGCTGTGCAGGCTAAAAGACCCGGTGGACCCAATTAAACAAAATAATGTAATTTACAAAATACTTGGCAGTGACTGTGAGGTCGACTTCAAAGTGGTAGATCTGGAGTAGTGAGATTATCAAAATATAAGAATTTAGCTAAGGGTAGAATGATTGATCCTATTAAGATAAGTAATTTAGGGAAAAACTCAGCAATCGCACTGCATGCATTAACACACAACCACACAATAGGGTGGGACAGAGTAAAAATTCTAAGTAATATAGGTAGTTGGAGAGAGACGTTGATTACTGAATCCTGGTTTATCGAGTCTACACCCAACACATGCAATAGAAGTGATTTAACGCAAATACCGGAGATATGGAAGATATTATTATCACCAGTCAAGTCAGAGGATAATAAATAATGTCAAAATGTATACAATTCATCTTATAACATTCTAACAAGTTATTTACTTTACTATAAAAACATCTTATTTTCTATCTGATTGTATTTTATTGATAACACTAATATTACTCCCGAATGTACTCCATCGTATATTAATTTTATTCAAATGTCTGATCAGTTTTACTCATGTATATAAATGAAGCAAGGAAGTCGAGTGAGTACTTTGATATGATTATGAGCAGTAATAAATTGCGCTTGAGACGTAGTTATCAGTAAATATTACTGTATAACATTGTGTGTGTGGTTTTCCAAAGGTTCTGTAATTAATGTATACTCGTGATCAAACCTGTAATCAATCAAATACCAACAGGGGTTCGAACGCAAACACCACATAATTTTTTCATTCAATTCTTTGTCATAACTTGATTTCACACACTATTTTCGTACAAGTATGGAATTTTTAGCATGTGATATCGGTAGCCCAAATTTAGCGGGCAGACCACTGATACCAGGTGTGCATCGGCCGAGGATCGAACCCCGGACCATGTGCATGGTTGGCGAGCGTCCTAACTGATGAATACAACTAGAAACTGTTCAGAGTAAGGATTCGCAATAAAATAACTCGTCTAACAACGACCATAGGACATTTTTGAAAAAAATGCATCAAATTTACATAGGTGAACAGTTACTTCACCAAATTGTCTATATCCATATGCGAAATATCATAACATTTAAAAAGTCACTATATAGTCGCTTAAATATATAGTTAAAAATATTTCTTCGAACGACGTCATCAAATGGAAAGCTCCACCTGCTTCTTTTTATCAGTATTATGCTAGCTAGATGAACATAAATACACTACAGACCGGTAATGGATTTGTTTGGATTTGGTTTGGTTTTTAATTAGCGCTTATTCATAACCCTGCTAACTGATTCGTTTAAACTGCAGTCACCTGGAGTTAAAAGTTTTTGAAGACTTACGTTGTGTTGTGGGTGAATTGAGACAGTGTCGAGTCGTTCCTGTCAGCCGACATTTTGGTAATACGAGAACCATCAGGCAACAATGCAGTTATCCTGTAGTCCTGTTCCCTATACAGGACGATCTAGTTGAGACGCTTTCATAGTCATTCATTCAGCTCAGAGGACATAACTACACAGGGACCATCCATCTCATCTATAAATCTTCTCCACCATATTTAAGAATTCAATTTGTCAACTGAGAATATTCGAGATCATGACTGACTAGTTTCCCACCTCTCCAAGGACTTCCGATTACGATTCAGTTGATAAGGATAGAAGGCTCTTGTGGCCTGTGTTAATCCTTGCAAAATATATCTCTGCAGAGATCTAACTTCTCTTTGAAAGCGTTCACCGATGGAGCTGTTACTACTGAATCAGGTAAGGAGTTCCAGTCTTTGACTACTCTGTGAGAGAATCTAAATTCTGCACATATTTTAATCGTCCTCGGTTTGAGCATCTTTTTGCGGTGACCCCGTAAATGTATCCTAGAAGGGGAGAAAAGTTTAGAAAGCTCAGTTCCTAAATCACCCTTAAGTATACGGTATGCTAAAATTAAGTTGCCTCCCTTCCTTCGGTATGATAACGGAAAGAGATTTAAATGCTCCATCCTCTTATCATAAGGAAGGTGTGAGATACCACTAACTAATTTCGTTCCTACTCTCTGTACTCTTTCCAGGATATGTGCCTCCTTTTTAAAGCATGGATTCGCAGCCTGTATGCAGTACTCTAGATGAGGCCTGACATATGTTGCGTAGAGTATTTGGAACATGCCCTCATCTAATCGTTTGAAAGCCCTACGGAGTGCCCATAGCATTCGAAAAGCCTTAGCTGCGGCTGCATTGCAATTTGCAGTTGTTTTCAAATCATTGCTGACAATGATTCCTAGGTCCTTCTGTCCGTTAACATCAGGTAGTTCTGTGTCCCCTAGGGAGTACGACGTATAAGACTTCTGTCTTCTATCCATTAGGTAATCCCTAAACCACTCACATAGGCATTGGTCTAGTCCGAAACCTTTAAGTTTACTAAGGAGACCTAAGTGGGATACTTTGTCGAATGCCTTGCTAAGATCAATAAAAACCACGTCTAACAGAAGGTTTTTATCTCTGGCCTCGACCCAGTCTTCCCTAGCTAACAGTAAGTTTGTCAAGCAGGATCGTCCTGGTCGGAATCCATGCTGTTCAACTGGCAGTAAGCCATGTGTTTCAACATAAGCTAATAGCCCATCCCTTATAATAGTTTCCATTACCTTTGCTATAATGCATGTCAGACTTACCGGCCTGTAGTTAGATACCAATTGCCTGTCCCCCTCTTTGAATATAGGGCTTATAATGGCATCCTTCCAGTCCCTGGGCAGCTTAGCCTGGGTCAGTGACATTTGGAAAATCTCCGCAAGCGGAATATATACTATATCCGCCGAGGAAATTAACAGTTTAGGGTGAAGTCCATCAGGCCCAGGTGATTTACCTGGCTTCAGTTTAGACAGTAGTTTGAGGACTTCTGTGTGCTCTACCACAACTGAGGGCATATGAGTGGCGATGGCAGTGACTTCACCATATCCCTGGGTGGTACTGTCAGACGAGAAGACGTCACAGAAGTATTCAGAGAGGTTTTCAGGCTTTCCTTCGTCTGACTCAGCCGTTTCTCCACTAATGCTTATGAGTGACGGTATACCATTGCTAGTTTTGATCCTAAGTTTAATATACGAGAAGAGCCTTTTTGGGTAGTGAACGCTATCTAGTACAAGCCGTCTCTCATATTCTATACAACTCTTGTCAATCGCATACTTACAGAGATTTCGAATTTTGCGGTAGTCTTTCTGGAAACTTTCCCTTCCTGTCATAATAAATTGGTCCCATAAGTTCTTTCGCCATCTTAATAGCCTCCTTATTTCACTAGTAATCCAAGGTGGCTTGTGCGATAGCTTTCGAGGAGTGTAACAAGGTATAAAAGGTGAAGTGACACAATCTAGAGTATTTCTAAATCCTACCCAAGCTTCCTCGACAGTCCGACTTGCATCTACTGACCAGTCAACTGCAGTTGCTGCGTTGCGGATTCCTTGTATATCCGCTTTCCAAATGTTTGGACGAGCAGATTTTGACCTGTGTATGAGAGAATGAATCTTAAACGTAAAAGTAATGACTATGTGGTCACTGCTGCCAAGCGGCGGAAGGCACCTAATGTCACCAACGTCCTCCTTCTGGTGTGTTAATACAAAGCCTAGAGTAGATGGATCATGTTCCGGGTGATACCGTGTTGGTGCATGCATATGTTGCACGAGTTCACATTCAAGCACTGTCAGTGTGAACTCCCTATTGAAACAGGTATACAAACTAGTGGAGTTTAATTCCCCCCCAGTTAATGTGTGGAGCATTAATGTTGCCAACAACCATACACCTATTTCTACTACCCCACGCCCTCAAGTGATTTAGAACGAAGTCATCAGCTTGACTATCAAGACTTCTGTAAATAACTCCGAACGTCAAAGTGCCTTTGTTCAAGTTAATGACGCAACTTGCGGCTCCACTGGTGCCGCTGTCATGAGCTTCTGACAACGTTGACCTAATCCCTATGTCATCGCGGATGTATAGAGCAGCCCCGCCATCTTTCCGACTACTTACTATGTCTGCTCGAATGCAGATGTACCCAGGTATGAGGGGAGTTAAGTCTACACCTACTAACAACCATGTCTCAGTGATAGCAATCACATCAGGTTGTAGTCTTTCAGATAATTCTCCTAATTTCGCGAGCTTATTCCTAAGACTACATGCGTTCGTATAGCACACCGAGACACCTACGTGTTCATCCGGCTTATGAAGAGAGGTCTCGGCAGCATCGGTTTCCGAGACCTCACCACCCGAAAACCCAGTATCTTGAGGTCTTCTTCACCTTTCTCTAGCCTGGCCTTTAGTTCAGCCACGACTTCTCTTCTTTTGATTCTATCTTCTAAAGGCCAATCAGGCCTTATTTTTAAACTTTTATTGTTGAGGATGGTGCTTCTCTCTGTTTCGTTCCCTAAAACTATCTTAAGTAGTCATCGAGAAGTTTCCGTAGCATTAGGGTTTCGTTTTCCGATCCTGATGGCTTTTCTTACGTGAACTCCAATTGATTTTTTCGGGAAGTATTTCCCGGATTATGGAGCTAACCGCCTTCAGATCGTCTGCATGTCGGGCAGCTGGATCTGTGCTCTTAGATTCCTCCAAATTCCAGATGATAACACTGTAACTAGAGTCCGTGGGTTTCTGAGTTTGGCTGGTATTAACAGCCGTCGAGACCTTGTTGGTGAACTCGGTTGCTGATTCTTTCCTACGTTTATTTTGCTTTTTACCTATCGGTACTAACCAAGTGGAGTCAGTTTCTTCCACTTTATTTTCGCCGCGACTAGAGGCCATTCGTGCACTAGACACGCTGCGCTTTGGGGTGGCCATTTCACAGGCTGGTGTTGCCATGCTGGCACTACTTGTCCTTTTAGATTTCCTTTGTCGTTTGCTCTTTGTCGCAACAGATATTTGGGCACTCTGTGCCTCTTTTGCCTCTGGAGCTCCAGGTGGCGATACACCTTCAGTTTTAAAATTATGTCCTGAACCGCCATTTTTGGTTAGGATTTCTGGTACAGGCTTTTCGATTTTGTTTCTTGGACATCAGAAGTCCCACTGCCTCTTGGATGAGGACATCCAACGGGTTACTGCAAAATTTGCACAGCCATGGAGATGATGGCTTGCAACATCTCTTATAGGCTACTGGTGATAAACCAGTGCAAACCTTGTGGAACCATAGGCTGCAGTTGTCGCACTGCATACCATCATCCACCGGAAAGTGGCAGTCCGGTCGTCCACAATTGTTATTCGGACCCATAGCGCTAATTTGTTTCAACAACACAAATATATGTACGTGAAAACAGTGAGGTTAATACCAACCAAATACACAAATATATATATGTGAAAAAAGCGTAAATACCAAACAAGACACAAACTGCGAATAATATGAACAAAAAATCAACTAAATAAATCAGTTAAAGTGAACTAAAAAGCTTCTGATGTGGTTTAAACAACAAAAGCAGAATTTACTTCACAACGTAAAAATGTCACTTTCCTTTTTCAAATAGAATTTTTCAGAACGACTCTACCTTGTCTCCGTAAACGACAAGTAGTCTGAAATAATTCTCTTAAATCTTTATACTGAAGCACTCTCCATTTTAACCTCACCTAGTTTATTAGCTTGCTAGTTTTCTACCCAGTCCCAAGCCCGGGTAAAGAGGGAGGGTTAAGTACGGGGATATCTATCCCAAAACCACAATAGCTACCAAACTCCTAGAGAAGCCTCAACACACACACGAAATGTTAGAAATGCAAAAAAATGACAAACAAACATACTGTTCACCACCACCTTGCGAAATGACGCAGGAGAGTGAAAGCCTCCGGGAAGCCGGTTAGCCAATGTGTCTTCTCTCTATGAAAGCAAGAACAAGCATGGATACGTGGAATTTCGGTGAACGAAGCTGTCAAGGCCACCCAGGTAGCGGAATAAAAGCGAATATATGGCATAGAAGTGCTAAGTGCATGCCAGAGCAGGTGAAATGGATGTGGATTATCCAAATTGTCAACTGAAGAGTCACTAATCTACTCAGGTCACCCAGACGACAACCACTAGCAAACTGAGGCAGTGAGTGGCCATCACGATGTCGCCAGTGGCAGCCAAATCTCTAATGCAGTGGGAACCAATTTCATCCAGGATCATGGCAGAAAGATTCAACTCAAAAGTAAGGAAGGTAACAATTATCCAATGCTATTTACAACGCGTAACAAGAAGAGAAGAATGAATTTTAGTCACAAATACAAACAGTAATGGACAACGTCCCAAACGGTGACATCAAAATCCTCGTGGGTGATACGAATGCCAGCTGAACCGGCAGC